GCCTTCATAAATTCCTGTACAAATAACCTCAATTGAAATAACTAACTAACCAAATAGCCAGACAGAGTTTATGGCATTTAGTTCGGCTAGCAATAACACAGGCTTACAACAATTTGGAATAAATATTATTAGAAAATGTGGAAAAGTGTAAGAAACAAAGAAAAACTCATTTGACTTAGTTAAGGGAACCCCACCCATTCTTGGTCCAAAGGTGACAGATAAGGCTGGGTTTTAGGAAATTCGTACTAGAACGGTACGAAAAGTGCTAAATGTGATACCATTTGTATTTAGCGAACTGGTGGAGCTAGAACTCTTAAATTTTAAATGAGGGTCACTTATGGGGTGTAGAATAGATATAGCAAAGGGTTTTTTGGACATTCAAACTATAAGCATGAGGAAAGTACTAAAATGTACTAAATTTAGTACATTTTCGTAGCATGTGAATGGAAATTGAAATTTGGAACGCAAATTAAGGTTGAGAAGCAGGGTCGATATAACGAGCTGGCATTGGAAGCGAAAAGTACTATATTCGGTACAAATTTAATTTGGAGGTACAAATCGAGTTGGAATCCTGAAAATTTAAATTAACATTACCGTCGAAGTTTTTTACTTATGTGTACGAAAAGTACTAAATCGTACTATAATTGGAACAATTAGGATTTGGGTGAACCGATAGAGCTGGAACAATGCAATTTGGAGTCATGATCACTGTTGGGGTGTAGGATTATGGTATGTAGGGAATTTTGAAAATAAATACTAATGTGTACTATATGGTACCAAATTTGGATTTGGGTGAACCGATAGAGCTGGAAGCTTTACATTTGGAGTTAGGATAATTGTTGGGGTAGAATTGAGCTATTTAGGAAATTTCTACTAATGTGAACTAAATTTTGTACAATTTAAATTTTGGGTGAACCGATGCGATGAAGTTTTGGAAATTTGTACTAAATGTTACCAAATGCGGGTTTGAGTGAACCGATTGAGCTGGAATTTTGAAATTTGACGTTTGGATCACTTTTGGGGTGTAGGATTGGGCTTTGTGGAAAATTTTGGAAATTCGTACTAATGTGTACTAAATTTGGTTGAGCTGGAAACCTTGAAATTTGGAAATAAGGTTAATGATAGAGTGTAGGATTGGGTTATGGATGTAGTTTTGGAAATTCATACTTATGGGTACTAAATTATACTAAATTTGTACAATTTGAATTTTGTCTGAACTGGTAGAGCTGGAATCCTGCAATTTGGAGTTACGATCTTTGTTGGTATGTAGTATTGACCTATGTAGAAAATTTGTACTAAATGGTACCAAATTTGGATTTGGGAGAACCGATAGAGCTGGAATATTGAAATTTGATGGTAGGATCACTGTTGGAATGTAGGATTGGACTTTGTAGGAAGTTCGTACTAATGTGTACTAAATTTTGTATAATTTAAATTTTGGGTGAACCAATAAGCTGGAATCCTGAAATTTGGAGTTAGGGTTACAGTTGGGGTGTAGGATTGGTCTATGTAGGAAGTTTTGGAAATTTGTACTAATGAGTACAAAATAGTACCAAATGTGGATTTGAGTGAAACGATAGAGCTAGAATCTTGAAATTTGAAGTTAGGATTACTGTTGTTGGAAATGTCTACTTATGTGTACTAAATGACACTAAATTTGGTACAGTTTGGAATAAAAGCTAACCGATAGAGCTGCAATCCTGAAATTAAGTAATATGATTTCCGTTGATGTTTACTAACTGGTACTTAATTTGGATTTGGGTGAAGCTATATTTGAAATTGGGAAATTTTACACGACTACAAAGGGTAAAAAATTACAACAAATTTTGTATAGAGCTAAATTTAGTCAGAATTGGTGTGTAGTGCTGAGATATGGTGGTAGTTTTGGAAAAAAGTACTATAAGAGAACACAGGTACTAAATGGTTCCAAAAGTGTTAATAATGTTTGCTAGTTAAAAAATAAATAAAAACAATCTGGAAAAAAGTTTTTTATTCATAAGAAATCTGGAATACCAAATTTAAGTCACATGGATGGAAAAATTCGGCTAATGTCTTACAAACCACAATATCAAAATAGTTCCGCAATAATGTTTCTGGCACTCCATGATCTTGGTATGCGAAATTATGGCCATATTGGTGGGAATATGTGTGTGAAACCTTTAAAGGCTACGTCGTAACGTGGTCTTATATCGACAAGTTTCATAAAATATATTTTTCGTTTTCCATGTCAACATAAAGAAAATGACGCGTAACAGATATATGAGACCTATATCAAATAACATGGACCTATAACGAAAAGTTTATTAAAGTTTAGTTTATATTTATTCAGTCTTTTTTTAAACAATGTTAATATATAAATAATATACATAAGATTAAAGACTTATGACTATAATGTATTATCGTAATGCAGTGACATAAATTACAGCACCTAGCTTTAACATGAAATGAGACATAAAATGTGGGTATACATCAGTTAAAGTTACGTACATCCTTGCTCCCGAGACTAATACAATAAGAAGGGATAATTTATCCAGGGTTTATGAACTTAAAACTAATAATACAAAACAAAAACAAAAATAAAACATGGACCTATAACGAAAAATTTATTAAAATATATATTTGATTTCCAAGCTCCTGGAATACAATTTTAACCACTTTTGTGGAAAAGTACTGCAAAACCCTTCAAAATAACAAAAATGAATCGGAACCATTATACAGGGGATATGTCAAAACATGGACATATGAATATTGAAAATTTTCTGGGAAGAGGTTTTTTTGCCAACCGAAAATCCAGAATGCCAAATTAGACCACATCGGTTGGAAAATATGTATTTAAAAATGTCGGGTTCCGCGTTCAAAACCCTGAAGTATGAAAATAATAATCACTTTGGTTTGAAAATACGGCTAAAACCTTCAAAGTATCGAAATTTGCGTATCAAATTTTTCTTGTCCAAAACCTCAATTTTTTCATCACCGATTACACTGTGACACAAAATCGAGGTCATGGTCTGGGGTGTTGAACATCCTTATAAGGATGAAAAGTCTTTGGCGAGTACATTAAGAACCCACAGGGGCAAATTCAACATAGATCATGTTTCTGAGTAGCCTGAATCTGATCCGGTTCAAAAATTTAGCAATCCTGATCTGTCTCCCATGAATTAATTTTATTAATTTTTATTATGGGCACATTTGTCATCCAAATTGGTTGAAAATTCATATTAGGTTGGGGAAAAATTAATCCATTATTTTTATATGAATTATAGGACTTTATTTAATATGCTTCGGAATGTCCGATTTGAGCCAAATATGCACCGTTTTGTTGTATGATTTGTTGTCATTTAAAATGCATTTCTCCGATTTTATCGACATTTTCGACGAACTGCCTACCTGTGCGAGGTACATCTTTAACATAAAAATTTTCTGAACGGAATCTTCGAAACCAAAATGGCACATAATTGGCTGTTACAGTATCGGAGCCGCTTTGCTAGCATTTTCGCCTTTGTCAAAGAAAAACTGTAAAATGTACCGAATTTTCTCTTTGTCACTTCCATTTTTAACACCCTATAACTCACAACTGAATGCGCCAAACAAAAAAGCAGCAAAATAATTTGTTTATTACGAAATGTCACCCTTCCAACGACCAAATCTGAAATTGTTTGAGCTATACTTTACGAGAAATCTATCAATATTTTCCCCTAAAACTAATATTTTCGAGTTACATTGGGTGGAATATCTTCAAAAAAGGCATTATTTGGTTCAGGGTAGTCCATATATAACGGGACATCCCATTATTCGATATTATGGGATTCGTATTTTCAATAGAATTGGGTTATCATTTGGTGTCAAATTGTTCTACCAAAACTTGGTCGAAGTATTAGTATAACCGCTATTAACGGTATCCATTAACCGCTTCATTGTTTTTAGAACTTCAGGCATGTTTTTTGTGGAGTGAATATTAAATTTGTCATTACGTTTGCAAAACATGAAATATTCTCTGGAGACCCCACATATAATAGATATATTTTTAATTAGAATAAAATTCTACGTAAAATGCTATCCGTCCGTCTGTCTGTTAATATCATGATAGGGATCGTAATATTTGAAATAGAACTTTGAAATATTGCACTGGCATTGCACTTACTCCTACGATCTTTGCTATTTAAAATAGTGCATATCAGTCGATGATTTGGTATAGCCCAGTATTATGGGGATTATTGATCTGTTTTTCAACCAAATTGGCTGTAATTTGCTACGTTCACATTGGGTATTGAATCTTCCTACTGAAAATAATCAATATTTGTAAACATTTTAGGGTATCCCCAAAATATCGGTACCGGTATTTCGGTTATTCGGTATTTTTGTGGTTTTAGACATGTTTTTCATGTTGGGTATCAGATTTGCATACGAAAAATCATATATGTTGCCCCTCCCAAAATTCGGTATTTTGAGGTTTTAGGGCACATATTTCAACAGAATTGGCTGTAATTTATTATGTTGGGTTATGATATGGTTGTAAATCTTTCTACTAAAATGATCAATATTGGTTAACCTTTTAGGGAAGCCCCCTTAAAACGCTATATCCCAAAGATCGGTATTTTGGCTACATTTTATTTTTCAGAATTTTAATCTCAGAAATTCTGCCAATGAAATTCTCATTGGTTAGTAGCATGTCATGAAATAAAAATCCAATTTTGGTAACATTGTGTAATGATTTTTTTGTTAGCCCACAAGCATTACAAATGCAAACATAAAAAGGCGTTGAAGAGGAAAAAAATTCGCAAAAAAGGAAAAAAGAAGAAGAAGAAAACAATAAATATACAAATAGATTTATTAACTACACAATTATTTGCAAAAAGACACCAAGTTGTTTTTTCTTGTTATGTTATCTTTATTTTATTTACTGGTATTGACCATTACTTTAATATTTCGTTTCGTTTTTCTTTTCTGTTTGATTTTATTTATGTTTTTTCGCTTCTCTCTTTGTCTACCTCTCGTTGCAGTTAAAAAGAAACACATTGACAGCAGCAACACCAATAAGGCCAAAGTCAAGGGCGGCATCATTACCAAAAATCCCATACAAACAGCAGCAACAACAACAACAACTGGAGGCGACAACAAGTGAAATGATTTCGCACTTTTGCTAAGTGCGAAATAATAATCACAATAGAAGCAAACAGTAAAAAATTTATTTTGATAGTATTTCGCCATTTTATTATCATTCATTTTGGTTTTTTTTTTCATCTTCTGCCTCGTTGTTAACAATAATTGTGAGTATACAGTCGAGTTGAAAGCTTTTAGTTGTAAGATATTTCTTGTTGCTTTTTTTTTTGTATTTTTGTTAATTTGTAATAAACATTTTGATGCGACAAACAAGTGAAATAATTTTTGGCACACTTATGTAATTGAAGTGAAATAATTTTATTCGGTAACATTTTGCAGAAAAATATTTTTTTAGATATTCTCACAAATCATATTAGAAGATTGTATGAATCTTGTTATTCAACACTAAATAAGTAAGGACCAAAAAAAAAAAAAAAATCAAGCTGCTTACCTGAGATAGTCTACATTAGTTCAATCTAGATAGAATCAATATTATCCAGAATAAAAACAACAATGATAACGAATCTAACTCAAAGACTAATCTTACACTTTTCTTATACTGTTCACATTTTCAAAATATATTGACAATATTGAATACCTCAGAAGTTACACTTGTGCTCATACAATTAAGTCATTCAAACAAAACAATAAGTGCAAAGGACAATTTTATAGATTATGGATGAAATAAAAGTACCTTTATTACGTAAATATAAAAAAGACACAAATTAACTAAAATAACTTAATTTCAACGTTTTATAACATAAAATAAACATAATTCGAAAAAACTGCATTAACTTCATTTTAAGCTGCTCATATAATTAAGTCACTAGGACGTAAATAGGTTAATTGTTAATATTTTTGAACTAAAATTACGTTAATATTTAGTTGGAAATCCTTTTTGTAGGATGACTTCTGCACATCTCTTGCTCATGGAACTGACGAGTTTGGAACATTGCTCTGGGGTTATTTTATACCATTCGTCCTTTATAATTTCCCACATGGATGCTTTGTTTGCTGGCTTTCTAACTGCGACAGCTCTTTTTATGATACCCCAAAGGTTTTCAATGGGGTTTAGGTCCAGGCTTTGGGCTCGCCACTCTAGCATTTTAATATGATTGGCCGCAATCCAGTCCTTCACTACTTTTGAGCAGTGCTTGGGGTCGTTGTCCTGCTGAAATATCCAGGCCAACGGCAAATCATCAGCATAATAATTTAAAAGGTGTTCTTCTAAGATATCTCAGTACATAACACCTGTCATTTTTCCGTCTATTTGGTCAATTGGACCCACGTCTGATGCCGTGAAGCATCCCCATACCATCACAGAAGAACCCCCGTGTTTAACTGTTTTCTTTGTGTAACGTGGATTTA